AGTATATTTGATAACTTAAGCACACATATTTTTTTAGGGAACAGCATATTTTTTTAGCTATTATTGATAGTAATTATCAAAGACGTTTTTAAGAAAGTTATTAGTTTTGAAATAAATCGTTTTTGCTGTTTCCTGAAAATGTTGTATTTTGGACATATGTTGTTTTTATAAAACACGCCTTAATTGTTTGGGTAGTGTTTGATGCAATTTTATGCATGACAACAAGCAAATGCGTTAAAGTAAATCTTGAAGAATATGAATATTAAACAAATCAGGATACTTTTCCGTGCGGATGCGAAGATACTTCCTAGACTAAATAGGTATATGAGAAAAAAGAATGAGGTTTGTCGGATTTCAAAACTTTCATGCTAATTGTTTTAGTAGTTTCAAACTACAACTGAAGTACTCTGAGTTCTCGGATGAACTCCAGGTCTTGCATCACACAGAAACTTGGTGTAAGCTTTCAGCTCCTTAATTCGTCTGCAGAGACGTTTCTACTCTATCTCCATATGCAAATTCATGTAATCTAGGAAATTCTGGATTAAATCGATCTATCGTGTTGGAGAGGGGATGTTAATGGTGGAAACAAACAAGAATCGTTGCATTGCCAGTGAGGAGATTAGATAATATCCCCGTTATCGAACACGAATATAACAGCTGTTTCAATAACAAAATATGTATGGTTGTTGCGACAGCGGCAGAATATTTTTAGTTTCAATTCAGCTGACTCGTAATTGCAAGGACAAAGCTTGAATACTTGTGTACAGCGACTGTTATAAGAAGTTAACGATATTCTGTTGATGTAGATTTCAGAGTGGATAAATAAAACTGAAAAAGGCAACTTTTGCAATTTTTACACATTCTTGAACCTTAGGGATGAAGACGTGTCCGAAACTGCCAATATTCGATGCAAGGAGATTAACCAGTTCACAATGAAAAGCAAAAGTGTGTTTAGCAGGTCCAGAACGCGGCAGTATCTAGGAGTAACAGAGGTACAAATCTCGTTGACGTGTCTATAGAAAAGCTCTAGATTGTCCACTTTCAAGCCATATGAAATATGGCCAATGCAGTAGAGACCTTTGTACCGAAAACTGAGTTGTAGTCAGAAGCACTAACATCTATTCACCAAATAATTCTCCAAAATATTTCGCACCTATGCATTGCACAAACTGAAAGAAATAGCATACATTTCGAAACTACTGGAGGACTCCTTAATGCTTAATGACAAGCAGTTTTTCTGTAAGTGGTTTGGTACACACTTGTGGTTGGTATACATTTTCAGCTGCAGGAATCAGAATACTATGGTTGTGTAAAAAATTCTGAACGTCTTTCAAAAAAATGTATACTTAAGTGGCACACAAGCCAATTTTGACAACAATTTGCAATGTTCCTAATAGTACCCCACCTAACGTATTCTAACTTAGTCTAGCTAGATAGAATTCGCCCTAACTTTACCTAGCTTATTCGTACTTAGTAAGTAATAAAGCTTCTATTTGGCCAATCGGATAGTTGTTTCGTGCTACATTGCAACTCATCAGCTTGGTCTAGGCTTGGCCTCAGGTAGGACCACGAACGAAAGCTGAACAACTATCATCTATCCAGAATATAAAGTCAATCGTATTAAGATAGCACAAAGTGCCATCCATTACCAGGTCTTATTTCGCCATTTTAACTTAATGTACCAATCTTAGGATGTCCACGTTTCTGATATGGGATTAGGTTAGGTTTGGTTAACGCATTACTGTGGGTGCTGTCATGCGTTCTTATCATTATAAGAGTAATTAGACATTGAGATGCTTAAACCAAGAAGAAAATACAATTACTTGGCAAATATCTTGAATGTATATCTATGAATTGGATATGAGAAATCGTGGGATGATAGCTTATTTAGAAAAAACATATTATTGGAAGTTATAATACTCTGGACGTATACTCTTAGAGAATCGATAACGGATCCTTCAGCTAATAATAAACGATAAAAATAGATGTACTAATGGAGCCAATATATTATGGATGCTGCGAAAGGCTTGTACAATGTACAGCGATAAGGTTCATATATGTATATATAATATAACTATGAATATCAACATGCTTTATAGCGAAGCTTTTGAGACGGTTACCTATCAGAAACATACTATCTTTTACGTGGTCCCTTCAGGAGATGGTATTTGCTGTACATATATATTGAGAACAAGTGCACATCCACTAAATACGTTTCTAAATTTTAATATTGACGCGAATAAAAAATTTAATGGTATAGGTATGGCATATGCACTGCATAATTTACTTCTTCAAATTGGAAGTCTGTCATGATGTTTCATAGGTATGTTTGCGGAAATATGTTTAATCATTTAAAACTTACGCAGAGGGGAGCAGTGAACGTGAGGTGCAACCAATACTAAACGAATATGCCTAAACGGGCTATCAAATTAAAGGGTTTAATTTATAGATTCCTATGCCTGGGAAAGGTACGGGAACCATACTCGGAAAAGCAGCACGCCAGACATGTTACGAGTATTCCAGGCTGGATCTCATCTGGGCAAACAGTACTGCCTAGTTCTAAACAGATAATCCAACTTCTTCCCACCAACTGCTCTGAACAATAAATTCTCATCTAGATACCTAATTGAACATCCTGTGAATGAATCGATATTTTGTAGTCGGCTTCAGACCCAGTGCATGTAATGAAATACATCCCCCATCTGTATAATCATCCACAGTATGTCATCGCTCGATGTCCATTCGCTAGCACGTCTTTCCGTTCCTCCATCCCCACCCGCTTCTCATCTCCGTTGCGGGACATTCGATCTGCTACTAACCCACATACATAAAACGTGCATATATCTGGCGTCTCTGCCATCCACCAGCCGCGGCTAGTCTAGACGGCTACGAGGTTTTTATTTATTGAACCAATCTTTGAAAGCTTGCATGTAGTCGTTAACGTTTAATGACGAAAATAAGATTTTCATGAACAGATGATTAAATTCGATAGGTTTAAATCTCGCCCAATTGCACGCAAGGGAGTGTAGTGAGCACACTTGTATGTTTCGTCGAAGCGGACTGTTATTCGGAGATGATGACACACGCATTTAGTTTCCTGCTATCGACTTTGGGCTCGGTACCTCGGTAGTACCACGTTTGGGAATTACCCATAGGTGGCAGTTTCACCTTTTCGTGAACAACAATGATGTACTGCTCCAGTTATTGCTAAAAAGCACGAAGCAACGTTGTATAATACGGTTGGTTATGGTCACAGATAGCACTCAGATCCAAAATAGCTGATATGCAAGGTACTCCAGGAGTTGTGAATCTGTCCGATACAGAAGGTAAAAATAATGTGACAAGTTCCTATGTATAAGCAAATGTCCAATGGAGTTACCCTACGGAGGTACACAGCTCTAAAAGACACCATAGGCGCATGAAGAGGGGTGTTAGGTGGGTGCGGAGGCCTCCCTGAAAATCCAGTTGGACTTTACAATTTGCATATTCAGCATGATTTTGTATACACTGTTGAGGATTCATAGGAAATGCACTCCGGTCAGAAAAAAATTGCTATCCTCCGCTCTCGCTAGGTATTGGGAGCACGTACACTTCCATAAAAACTTATCTATTGCCCCCTCCTGAGAAAAGATTTTGCGGAAACCGATGAGTGGCACGACTGGAAGTTGGACTTCCTAAACTTTTGAACAACACTAAATAATCTAACAAAATTTTGTCAATATGGTAACTAGCCGAGGCCTTATATGCCGGTTTTTATTGATTCATAATGCAGTTGATCCCTAACAATTTCTATAAAAATCTAAAATTTGATTCAGTGATCTGAAAATTTATGTCCCGGAGTTTTTTGGGTCGCAGGATACGAAACTTTAGGATTACTGTATTTTCAAAATGACAGATGGCAGGACGGGTACATTGGATCCAGTGTTATAATTGACAAAACTGTACTTATCCAAATGTCTTTCTCAAACTCGTGCATACAGGGTCACGCTAAGACCTCCGTGGTTTGCAAATTACTTAATGCTTGGATGTGAGCTTAATTCTTAATAATGATTGCGTTTGAATCGATTAAGTCGTGCGTTGTAAGCTTAGGTTCGTTATCTTTTCTTGGGATATATAATTGATCATCACAAGATACCCTATCCAACTCTGTACCTGGAAGGGAAACTCTGTTAGGTCCGAGTAAGTAGTTTCGAGATGACTTTGTTTTTTTTGTGAATTCGCGAGTTATTATTGACGAATTTTTTCAAGAGCAACTCAACAGACTTTGGTTTGGAGGAAACATATCCGAAATTGCACTCAACCTCAAGAAAAGGAATCTTCAGTTTCTGTACAAAAGTCCCTTAAAAATTACTTAAGTCACGTGCTATGTCCCAGTACCAATTAATGCGTTCTTTCCGCCTGTACAGCTGAACAAGCGACTTATTGTGTGATTTTTTTCAGTAATATTTTCGCAGGGTATAGGACTTGAATTTGATTTGAATTGCCAACTGGTAATTTTCTTCAATAATAAATTAAATCATGCAATCTAACGTGACGGGCCTTGAAAGCTAATCAGCTAGACGACAACTCGCTGTTTTCACGAATAACTTCAGTTTTCGTAAATCATACTTTAATCGAACAAAAAGCAAAATGTACAAAAAACATACCTTTTGTGACTTCATATATAAGCACTTATCTTCTTTACTATTTATTTAAAAAGCGACTAAACGTTTATTTTCAGTGGCAGTTGCCTATTTTTATATCGAACGCACAAGTACAAATATTTCGGTCTGACGTTATTGTACCATCGTGCACCCAGCGAATATGTCACTGATCTGTGCTAATATTTGTTGTATTATTTCAGGTTGGCCGCAGCTCAGGCGCACCAGAAGACCAAACAACAGCAACAACTTCAGCAGGAGCGGCTAGCGGGGCTCAGCGGGGGCGGCAGTGCGGGTGGGCGGTGGTCGAGTTGGCTGCCCGCCCCGTTGGGGGCGGCACCTGGGACAGCAGCTGATAGGATGGGGGCGGGAGGGGGCGGTGGACACCATCCCCAGGGCGGACATGCGCCCAGGGATCCAGGACCATCGTCGCTATTCATCCTCTCCGAGGAGAACATCATCAGACGCTATACTAGGTTCATCATCGAGTGGCCATATCCTTTTCATGCTGAACACTACGTATATAGCTTTGACTTATGTCCTAAAGGTGTTGGCACCAAATACTTATTGGACCTTTTTTCTAATGAAGAGATTTATTTAAAACTAACTAGTTATCATAAATTACAACTCAATACTTAACTAAAATATACTATCGAATTATGTAGAGTGGTCGATTCTTCAATTTCTCTCAGTTTTTTCGGAAATTCGCCGTCATAATATTGTTCTCCATCTTGGGCTTCCCAGCATCCATGATAGACCTTCCTAGACAGTAAAGCTCAAAAATTGTCTATTGGGCGAGTCTGCGGCAAGTTAGGAGGATTATCGTTTTTAAGAACAAAAGGTATGCTGTGTTGTTGAAACCAGTTTTGGGTATCTATTGAGTAATGGCACGATGCTATGACTGACCGAAAAATATGGTCATTAGCATGATGTTTGTGGACAAACTGAATCAATTTGACAAGGCAGTTATCAATATCCTCTATTCAAAGCTTCACCCGTAACTCTTACGACAAAAGGTTGAGATAAACTTAATATTATTTTGTGTTTGATAAAATTAAAGCTAATGCATTTTGTGCCAAAACTTTAAGGACATACATCATTTCAAAAAAATATCGAACTAGTTATGAAAGCAACAGAGCACACGCAGATCGAAATTACCGTTTCAACAGAAAATCGAACTGATCCTGTAACTGGCAATTCTCTGCTCCAAAAAATTCCGTGCTGATTTTGAAGCAGTTCTGAGCTGGTTATACCAGTATTGGTTTCGTTCGACTTTGTTAGCGCATGCGCGTTAGCTGGGAAGCTTGATTTTGTGGCTGTCATTTTGTGCCTTCTCTAGCTTTTCAATCTTTCCATATATCCAAGATTAGTCTTGACCGTTTATTGTTCTATTTACTACACATACTTAAATGGGTGGCGATGAAGATTTCTTTTGAACAGATTTGAGTAAAGATGACGATCTTGAGCTGATTGCAGGAGATGAGACTTAGAAATGATTATTAGATATTGGCAAGTGTCAAGGCCGATTTAATATTTTTTGGTACCCTAGGCGGGTGTATTGCTGGGAAAAATTCTGATACATAACTATACGAAATTTAAACATCATATATATACAGGGTGTCCAATAAGTACAAGGAGGAGAAGGTAGGCTTTGGAGTGACCTCCCAAATAACAAAAACTTACCTATGTAAAAGTGTCACCGTTTTTGAGATATTGAATTTTTTCTTAAATTTTAAAAAACGAACCTTTTCATCTACGGTATTTAGCTGCATGTACAAATATGGTTGTTTTGATCATTTTTTCTATAGAATACTTCTAGATAGTTGCTTTGTCATATACAAATGCAATGTAGTTAAAAGATATTAAGGAACCTTGATAAAAAATAATTGTTTTGTATTGTTACTGACTCGAGTCCGAATTTCATTAAGTTTCACAACATCATATCAGGAGCAGGTAATAATAATGTAGCTTTGTACTATTTAGCATGTCACTGATCGGTAACCAGTGCAACTTGAATTTAAATCCAATAATTACATTGTAGTATGTGTCAGTCACTTACAAAAGCAGATATCACTTTTTTCTATTCCAAATAGTACGAGTGGTACCTTTCTGCGATCTGTATTCAATGAGCAATCTTTTTATTCAATATAATGCAGTTATAGCCCAGTACATTTTTGTTTCACCACAGATCGTCAAAGTCGAGGAAAAAATATCAGAAGGTTATAAATCCCAAAACAGTGCTTATTTGATCATGGTTCCTTAAAATCTTTTAACTACATTGCATTTGTATATGATAAAGCAACTATCTAGAAATATTTTTTAGAAAAAATGAACAAAGTATAACCATATTTGTACATGCAGCTAAAGACCACAGATGAAAAGGTTCGTTTTTTTAAATTTAAGAAAAAACTCAATATCTCAAAAACGGTTACACTTTTATATAGGTAAGTTTTTGGTATTTGAGAGGTCAGTCTATTTAAGTTTGTCGTGGTAGTTATTGCACACCTTGTATATATATATACAGGGTGGCGCATCGAAAACAAAACAGACGCATTTACTGGCAGCTCAGTTTTTTTTTTGGAAAAACGCTCAGACTCGTCGATTTTGTTTTCGAGGGGGACACAAGTTTGGCAAAATATAACACGTGCAGCCCCCTGGGCGGGGCTGACACCAACCCTAAAATCTTAAATGGAAAGGGGGGTCGAGTGATACCTTATTTTAAAGGTCTTTCAATTCCCTTTATTATGATATAAAATTAATGTACTTCAGTTCAGTAGTTTTGAAGATTTTCTTAACGACGCCCATGGTTTGTTTATCATTTTGTTGTTGAAAATAGCTATTGGAGCGTTTTTTTGTGGCAAAAAAGTTATTTCTTGAAGAAAGATAAGGAAATATCCCGTACTTAGTTTAAATAGGAATTTAGTACATAGTTTGCGATTGATTTGACTAAACTTTGTTGCTGAAATAACTTGTAACGCTTTATTACATAAATTAACCATGGTATATTCCACAGTAGAAAGGGTTGAAATTATCGAAATATTTTTCGGAAATAATCAGTGCGCTAATAGAACAGCAGAAATATTTAATGAGCGACATGAGAACAGTAACGTGCATCGAAAATATGTTCTAGAACTTGTAGCTAAATTTTGGGAAACTGGGTCAGTCGCCAATAAAAAAAGCAACATTGAAAATCCCATAAGGAACGAAGCAATAGAAGTGGGGGCTTTAGGGCAAGTTTATGTAGATCCTACGTTAAGTACCCGCAAATTGGAGACTGTGTGTGGTGTTAGTCGACGTACTGTCCAACGGATTCTAAAGGCCCATAGTTTTCATCCGTATAAAATTCACCTGGTACAGGAACATAATGAAGACGATTTTGATCGGCAATTACAATTTTGTGAAGATATGAGTGAACGAATCATAGACGATGAATATTTTCTATTCAACACTTGCATTTCCGACGGATGTCCCTTTTTCTTAAATGGCGTAGTCAATCGTCATAACTGCCGATATTGGTCCGATTCTAATCCCAGAATTTATCATGTGGTTCATACACAGCAGCCACAAAAGTTAAATGTTTGCGTTGGTATTTTTGGCGATCATTTAGTTGGTCCTTTTTTCTTACCTGGAAATTTGACCGGTGAAATGTAATTGGAATTACTGGAAGACGCCATAGATCCTGCATTAACAGCCATAATTGAAAATCAGAATGATCGGCGGTACATTGCGAATAGGTTGATGTTCCAACAGGATGGTGTCCCACCACATTACGCATTACGTGTTCGACAATATTTAGATCAGACGTTTTCAGATCGATGGACTGGTAGAAGAGGTGCCATTGAATCGCTCCCAAGATCGCCAGATTTATCACCTTTGAATTTCTTTATGTGGAGTCATTTAAAAATCAAAATCTATGCTACTCAGCCAACATCATTAGAAGACCTGCGAGAAAGAATTGTGAATGAGTGCCTTCAAATTACTCCTCAAACATTGCAAAATTTGCGGTAACGTTTTGAGCAAAATCTTTATTATTGCATGGAGAGTCATGGTGGCCATTTTCAACATTTACTTGCCTAACGGGTCAGTTCATTCTTCATTTTTAAATTACTTTGCTGCCAAATGTATTGATCTCCACCAATGATAATGTATAGTCAACGCCAAACAAAGTGGCGTGCACGTCATCAAGGTGGGTGTGTTGAAAAATTTACATTGTTGCCAAACTTTTTGTAAAATAATAAAATTTATTATTTACATATCTAGGTTTATAAGCAATATTAACCTCAAATGAGAACAAAAATAATAGTATAATAAAATTATAGATCTGTACTTGCATAATCATTAAGTATGACAATTATTGATCAGATGACACTATGAAACTACCATATTTAATTGATAGCTTAAAGGTACTGAATAAAAATCCAAATGGGGTCCTCCAAATTTTATGCATGGTATTTATTTTACAGAATTCATACAGAAAAATGCATTCTAAAATTAGGTAAGCTACTGGTGTAAGCTTTTTCTGTACAATAAAGTTAGTCGGAGTTTCTTTCTTCAGCGCTGTCTGAATCTGAATCTTCATCACTCTCAAAGTTGATTATTAAAGGTTCGATGTCTGGTCGATCAAAAATTCGTTCTCTTTCATACCATTTAAAAATTTCTTGCTCAGTATATCGAACACTATTTTTCCACATGTCTGGGGTAACCGTTTGTAGAGCCTCGTTCCACATATCCAAACAGTCTTTTTCACTGTTACCATCTCTACAAATATGTCTGTTATAGTAACCTTTTGCTATGCCCCAAATTAACTCAATAGGGTTAAATATACAATGGTAAGGAGGCAGACGAAGAACTTTGTGCCCATGTTGTTCCGCCAATTCATCAATCACGTATATTTTAGGTGGTTTGTTTCTAAAAAAGCAGTTATTTTAAGAATAGGAATAAACAAAAGAAATATAAACTGTCGACCAAAATATATATAATTAAGAAGCATTATGTACCGAGCAACAATACTCAATAGCTCTGTTTTAAACATTGTGTTTAAAAATGGTATGTTTTGATTTGTCAACCAGTCTTGGATATTTTTTTTTGTCCATGCATTGTTGGGCACTTTGTTCAATATCATGCTGTGATAAGGGGCGTTATCCAGTATAATCATAGATGGACTCTCCAATTTTTCTAATAACTGATGTTGAAACCATTTCAAAAAATCGTCCTGGTTCATCTCTCCATGGTAATCGCTCAATTTTGTTTTCGAAGAAAATATCGCTTCACTACCCTCAATAAACCCATTTTCATTTCCAGCATGTAATATAATGTATCTAAAATATATTAGTTTTAAATTTTATAGTGCAAATTGTGTAAAAGTACATACCTTTTACCATCTGTTTTAATAGCTTTCACGCTTTTTTGGTTTCCATTTTGCCAAGAGCGACCTATGGTCCCATTTTGAAATATCCAAGTTTCATCGACGAAGACAAACTGGTATAAGGCCTCA